AAAATACTCTGAACTTTTCAAGAAGGTATCATTTCTTCTCCCCAAACGGCATGACTTCAGAAAGCATACTGGCAGGAACATAGGGAAGGAGCACTTCTGACCCGGGTTCTAACGGATCTGGGCCGTTAACTGTGACTTCGAGAGTCCTCGGCCTCTCTGGGCCTCAGTTTCCCTTTCTGTAAAATGGAGATAACGCTTACAGCTGAACCAAGCGCACAAGCGCCTGACACATCAGTAAGACATTACACAAGGGAAGGGAGTTTCGTGCCGGCTGGAAACGCACGCAGACCCAGGCCCTTCCCCTCAGTTTCTGAGGCCGCGGTCCAGCCAGTCTTGCCGCCCTCAGCCAGGGCGCACCTCCGTCCCGGGCCCCTCGGCCGCCCTTGACCCGCACGCCTGCAGCGCCGGGGCCCCCCACCCCCAGGGCCCCACCTCGTTAAGAAAGCTGGTGACATCGTAGACTCGCCCGTGGATCACCAGCCACAGTTCCTTCAAGGAGTTGTGCTTCGCCACCTCCTCCAACCGATAGTAGGTGACGGAGGTCTCGCCGCCCTGCCCTTTCTCGCCGCTGCTGCCACCCTCCACGGTCGCCATTGAGCCCAAGACACCTCCTCCCCGCCGCTACCTGGCTTTCTACCGCTAAACTTCCTACAAGCAGAGTCTACCCTCGGCCCTCCTCGGCTTCCGTAACCGGGTCAACCTGGTTCGAGATCCAACTAACCAATCAGAGTCGTCCATCCCCTCCAATCTTGCCAATCAGATACTGTGATTTTGGACCGGCGCCTAGTGGGGCCGAGTTGCTAGGTACCGCCTCAGCAGAGGTTCCGTTTCACTCTTTCCGCGCATGTGCTTGCCGAGTCCTCAGAGAAAGGACCAAGGCTTCAGTGTTACCCCTAGTCCCGCTTCCTTTACCTCCGCGTGAAGCTATTTTCCCCCACACGACCTGTATCCAACTCCAGATTTACATCTTTACTGTCTCCAGCCTTTGATAGGGGGAATCCGCCTCCCTAAGGTTCAGTTTTTTTCACCAGTAAAATGGACGTGATAACTAACAGAGGGGGCTGGCAAATTAAGTGAGACAGTTTCTTTAAAACTTTTAATAGCCGGGCATGGTAGTGCACTTCTGTAATCCCAGCACTCGGGAGGCTGAGGCAGGAGGATCATTGCGAGTTCGA